TTTTCTGTGAATGTGCAAGACTGCCATTTCATTAGCAGCTATAGGGAAATAACGAGAAGAATATCAAAGTGCAGTAAACGGTAAAACTGTTTGTGCCACAAACCAGTGTGTTTGTAATTAATACAATACATTAAAATAATATGGTAAGACACACCAGTTTGCAGTTTCAAGCAGCATAACGAGCTGTTTCATACAGCTAAAAATAACTGGAAGTAAATGACACCGGAAGCCAGACAGATTAAATTTACAAATATTTGTGGTCGTTCTAACCTGAAATATAAGGTGGATATAAACTCGCAGTTCTGAGAAAAGAAGTCAGACTTGCGAGAAATTGCAGGATATACTGTAACCTTGCATTTGCGAGAAATAAAGTCAGAATTGTGAGAAAAAAGTCAGAATTACCTATTTTATTTTTTATGCAGTGGCAGAAACGGGCTTCCGTATGAATTTACGTCGGATTTTTAATAAATGAATTAACTTTTTAAAATATATTTCCATTCACTATTGAAATAATTGAAATGAATGAACATTTCAGTTCAGTGATAAATTTAACAGCACTAACTATGCAGAGATTTGCTGCAAGTTTACCACTACCCGTGAAAAGCTACACATTTACCACAAAAGAAATGTTATCTTTAAAGCTTGCTGCATATGAGCAGTTTTTTCAGTGTAAATGTAGTTGACGGTGGTTGCCGTCTTTGACAAAGGCTGGAAGAATCTTGCCGTCCCTTCCCCCCCCTCTCTCTTTCTCTTCTCCTGTCTCTCTATCTCTCTCTCTCTCTTTTTCTCTCTGTGTTTTCGGTGGTGGAGGGGGGCATTGAGACCAGCCGGTGACCTCAGGCCCAAAGAATGTCCCTGTTTACTCAGACCTCTCTCTGTCTCTCTCTCTGTGTTTTTGTGTTGGGAATCTGGCCCTCCCCAGACATTTGTCAGCTCTAGAAATCTCAGTGATCTCAGCGTCGTTTGTTGTGTTTACTCACGTCTACAAACATCCTCCTCTTACATTGCCATCTCAAATCTTTATCATTTGCACCTTTTTATTGCAATTACTGAGGACATTTCAAGTGGTTCTTGATGGTGCAAAACTGCAGGTGTGTTGCTAGGGTCTTCTAGATGTAAAAAAAAAAAAAAGTTATTCTGGTCTCTATATGGCTCATGTTCCTCCTCCGCTGTGCGTCTTTGGGATTTTTCACCTGTTTTATGGTCCAGCAGGTGAAAACCGTGAATCTGCATCACTAATTGAAAGTCTTTCCTCACGTCTGCGTGTGAATCGCGCTTTATCACTCTGAATTAAGTCGAGTGTTGGTTTCTCTGTCGGCCCGCTGGCTGTTTGAATGTGGCATGTGCATAAATTTCGGGATGGTGAAAAGAAGCAAGATGTCTGCCTTGAGTGCTGTAAATTTAAAGGATGGGGGAAAGGGTCAGACTGATTTATGAACTCTGTGTATGTGTGAGAGAGAGAAAGATGAGCGTTTGGTGGTTTTGTGCGTGTTTGAATGCGATGCAGAAGTCCTCGTGCAGTCAGACTAGCGGCATAAAGTCCCATCGCTGCTTCTGGCCAAGAAACGCCCCCATTTAGACAGAAACACGGTAAATGACCAGCCACAGTTTGCATTTGTTTTTAGGCTGGTATAAACCTGTACACCCTGATTCTAGGAAAAGTAGGGCGTTTTATTTTTCCCAAACTCTCAAACGTTTTTTTCTGTTTAAAATTAATGTTTTATCTTCAGTTTTAATGGTTGAATTTAATTTTAGTCTTCAAAGCATGTCTAATTAATTGAAATCATGAAACTTATATAATTTATCAACAATTTATTAAAAGTTTAACAAAACTTACATTTTCTTTAGGGCCCTGGAATGAAATACGTTATATTTTTTTCTCAAATTTTGTTTTATTTTTACCAAATTCTGTGTTTTCCGTTTTATTTTTTCTGCATTCCATTTTAACGGTTTCATTAAATTTAAAAAATCAATCAAAAAGTATTATTAAATTGAATTCATAAAAACAGAGTAATTATTTTTTGTTTTTGCAATAATAGGGACCTTTGAAATGTTTTTTTCCTGTGTTATGTTTTTTAATGTTTCTGTTTTGAAGGCATAAAACATTAATTTATCTTTTAATCAAATGAAAATTAATCAAACCTTTTTAGCATTTAACATTTTTAGCAAACAAATTGCTGCACAACAGATGTTTAAAAGTAAAACATGGATGAAAAAATGTGATTATTCCTTAAAAATATTTTAATAATGTATTATTATTATTATTATTATTAAGATGTACATTCAGTTGGACAGTACTAATATATTTCTGTCACAATTTCTTCAATTTACCCCAAACTTTTATTTTGGCAGGTTGTCGTGAAGACTTTTATGTTTCTGTGTGTGTATGATATGATGATAGTTTTTCTCAAATTAAATGGTAAAATGCTCATAAGTGACTCTCTGAGCAGCTCTGGAAATTAAGTTCGTCACCATAAACGGACGGCAGATGCTAAAAACACTGTGAGTGTAGTAAACAAAACCGCGCATCTGTGCCATTCACAGACACTAGTCGACATCGCGATTTGATATAAGTGTACTGATCTACTTTGATTTATTCATCCAAAGTTTGACAAATTCTATGACATTCCACGTTATATAGTACACTTCATTTTTATGAATGGATTCCATGATTCTGTCTGCTTTTTACCCATCGTGGAAATTATAGCGCCCTACGACAGACCAGGGTTTGCATTTGTTTTTAGGCTGGTATAAACCTGTGCATCCTGATTCTAGGAAACACTGTAAACCGAACCAGTCAGATTTGAGCTTTTGAAGTGTTTTTGTGTGTGTTACACATCCGTCGGTCAGGTGTCTGAGGCTGCTGGTTTGTGTTGTGGGAATGAACACAGCTGTTCACTTAACACGCATCAGAGATTAAACATATTTCATCCTTTCAATCACTTGAAGTTGCCAATAAAAAAAAAAAGCTTGTTTGTTGTTTGCAAACACACAGCATGAAGACACATGGAGTTTCTTCTACAACATTTTTTGCAGCATATAAGATGAAACTTCTGACGTGGTTGCATAATATGATATTTTTTCGCCACTCAGGACGGAGGCTACGAGGAAAGGCTTTCTATAATGTTAACGGAAAAGTTTACTGTGAGGAAGACTTCCTGGTGAGTATGAGAGTTAAATTCAAACTTATGATGCATTTACATGATGCCAGAGTTACAATAGAGTTTCTGAGTAGTAAAAAATGTTACTTTGTCAAACTGATTTTTGTAACACTCTTTTCTGCTCACCAAGGCTGCATTTATTTGATCAAAAATGCAGTAAAAATGCAAAATATTATTACAATTTGAAACAGCTGTTTTCTATGTGAATATCTGTTAAACTGTAATTTATTTCTGTGATGTGCAGCTGTATTTTCAGCATCATTACTCCAGTCTTCAGTGTCACATGATCTTCAGAAATCATTCTAATATGCTGATTTGCTGCTCAAGAAACATTTCTGATTATTATCAATGTTGAAAACAGTTGTGCTGCACAATATTTTTGTGGAAACCGTGATGCATTTTATTTTTCAGGATTCTTTGTTCAAAGTTCAAAAGAACAGCATTTATTTGAAATAGAAACTTTTTGTAATATTATAAATGTCTTTACTCTCACTTAATGCACCCTTGTTGAATAAAAGTATTAATTTCTATAAATAAATCGTACTGATCCCAAACTTTTGAACAGTAGTAGTATTTAGGGCTGCATGATTGACAAAAAATGAAAATCATAATTGTTGATTATTCCCTTGAAATTGTAATTGCGATTATTAATTACGATTATCACAATTTACGTTGAATGATGTTTATACCATTGTTTGAAGCAACCATATTTTTATATGAAAATAAACAAGCTGAAAACACTCAAACTGAAAAACTTTTATTGCTTTTCTATAGTATTAAGCCTTAAATGTCAACTATACATCGGATTGGTTTCTTCTTTAAAAGTAAAAATATGCATGGTATTATATAAATTAAAACAATGGAAAAACCTTTAAGATAACCTGTAGAAAGAAAAAAAACAACACAAGCACTCAGAATAACATAAGTGGACTTTGAACGATTAATTGTGGCATCCATAATTGTAATCGCGATTAGAAATTCAATTGATTGTGCAGCCCTAGTAGTATTGAAGTTTCAACTTGAAAGTTGTGACATTTAAAAGAACGGCCTCCTTTCACATGTAATGCTTGATATGTCACTGTAAAATGTTGTTTCTTGATGTGCTTTGTTCTTAAATATCTTGCAAGAACATCTAGAGGTAATTTAATGTAGTGACTAAACATTTTTTCCTGTCATTGACAACAAAGCCACATTTTTTTGTTGCTATAGAAACTATTAATTTTTGAGCCTGAGCATATGAACGGCTTAGAATCTCATAATTACAGTAATTCCAACACAATGTGAAGCATTAGTCCATTAAAACCCTTCTAATGAAAGCGATGTGCCTCTGTATAGAAGGCTGAAAGTGTTGTCCCTGTCATGGATTGATCTGCTATTATAGATACTCGTTCTGTAGATCATGTCCTCACTTGACGTTTGAAGTCCTGCTGTAAGTTAGTTACACCAGCTGTAGGATCTCAACAAAGTAGCTGTAATGCTTCATTTAATTTAACGTTTCCTAAGAGGGAGGTGGAGACTGGGGTTGTATCGATTAGTGCTCGTTAGTGGATAGATGGATGTCTAATTCTCTTGGGAGAACAGATGCTGTAGCTCCGCCCACCTCCCCAATTCACTCCAATATGATCCTATTCTGCCTAAAGCCAAACACACACACACACACACACACACACACACACACACACTTCAGGAGTGATAGGAAGACAGCAGATCCATCATGAAGGAATCAACTTCCTGTGTGAAATCTGCTTCTGTCAAATGTTATTGTCATTTTGATATTATTGCCACTAGATTTTCATAGTATGTATCATAGTCTTGATAGTAGGGACAAATCAAATATTACAAAAACCAGTTACAATGACTTGGTCTGTATGTATGTATGTATGTATGTATTTAGTTATTTTATTTTATATAACTGGTCATTATTTGGCATTTTGAGAGTTTTATTTTTTTATTGTATTTTATTTATTGTTGTATTATTTTAATATTTGTTTAATATATTAATTTTATATATAGTAGTATTGGAATATTTTTATTAACAAATATTATTCTTAGATATTTAAATTTTTTCAGAAT